TTTATTTATGATAAGACATTTGCCCAAGATCAATTATGTGTCAATATTCTAAGTACTGTAACAGATCTAAGGAAGAGGGCGTGGCCTCTACCCTTGAGGAACAGGAAGGGAGATAGTTCCTTACTAGTAATTTTGAGAAAGTAAAACAGTGTGAATCAGGCATCAACAGGAATCACTCCATCTGGAAAAATCACAGATAACTTTAGAGCAGTAGTTCTCAAAGTGCAGTTCCCATATCAACAGTGTCAGTATCACCTGGAAATTTATTGGAAATGCAAATAATTGAGTTTCACCCTAATGCAACTGAATCAGAAACTTTAAGAGTGGGCCAAGCAATCAGAGTGATTACAGACCGTTCAGATGATCCTAAGAACAAGTACTAATGCCCCAAGGCAAAGTTTCTCAAGCTTTAGAGTACTTTTTATTTTTAATTGAGACGGAGTTTCTCTCTGTTGCCCAGGCTAGAGTGCAATGGTGCCATCTCTGCTCACTGCAACCTCCGCCTCCTGGGTTCAAGAGATTCTCCCGCCTCAGCCTCCTAAGGAGCTAGGACTACAGGAGCGCACCACCACGCCCAGCTAATTTTTGTATTTGAAGTAGAGACTGGGTTTCACGATGTTGGTTAGGCTGGTGTCAAACTCCTGACCTTGTGATCCGCCTGACTCAGGCTCCCAAAATGCTGGGATTACAGGCATGAGCCACCACGCCCCACCTGGAATGTTTTTAGAGTCATCTAAATTGCTTGTTAGTACAAAGATTACAGACTGCTGGCCACCCACACCACCAGATTGTTAATTCAGTAGGTTGGGAGCAGGAAATTTACATTGCTAACAAGTTCTTAGGAAGTACTGAAGCTGCTGATCTGGGAACCACATTTTGAGAACCACCGTCCCAAGACATCTTCATTTAATCCAATAACTTCTCTCACTTGCTATGTACTGTTCTTGGAAGAATCAAGAAAATGGTGACTGAAATAATCTGCTCTGCTTTGTAGTTCAGAGGGAAAATTTCACATGAGAAAAGCTGAGTTGAAAAGGGGACAGGATAATATTTTAAAAAGGAGAAACATTTGTGTAAGGATTAAGTTGCGAATGATCAAATTCGTTAGGGCAAAAGCCATAATTGCTGGAGAAAATGTACAGCAAATGTTATAGGGAAGTAGGAATTTGAACAAATCTATTTATGGTACAGCTAAACATATTTTCTCACCCCATCAAATTAGGTTAATCATGTGGGATTCTGCTGCTCAAAATTTAAAGTCTAAGATACATGGAGAATGAATACTTTTTCCATGTCAGTTTCCCGGCTTCTTTCTAAAGGAGTCAGATTCATACTTTATTTTTATTTCTTAGGCATAAGAAATCAGTGGCTTGACTTGAACTTACATTTGTGTTTTCAGTCCACATACCACTTTCTGAAATTGGAAAAGACATTATTCAGAGTACAGAGACCTAAATTTCAGAATTGGAATGTGACTGTCAATTCATATTTGAAGCTCAACTTTTAAAAGACCAGTGAATTTAGCTATTCTGAAACTTCACCAAATGGTAATTATGAAATCCACTAGCCACACATCCATTCATCCATCCAACAATGAAAAAGAAACTTGACTTTGTAAGGTCTTTTAGGCTGACTGATGGCACCATGGATGCTATTGGCGACCCCAGCACGTACACCTTTGGAGAGCCTTCTGGAATTAGAAAACCCGAAGTAACTGGAAGACCAGGAAAAGCGGAAGAACCATCAACTCCTGCAGCAGCTAACTAACTTGAGACATTCTTCTATTGTTTCTTATTCCGGCCTTGACTGACAAGGCTATTGGACTTTATAACCGACTTTGGTCAACCTCCTGACTCCAGACCCTACCCTACCAACTTGCAAAAACATAAAAAAAAAAACACCCTAAACTGTAACTTCTGTAACTTTCCACTGCTCACCCCAAACCTATAAAACCAACTCCTATCCCACTACCCTACACTGACCCCCTTTTCGGACTCAGCCCAAACACACCTGGGTGAATAAACAGCCATGCTGCTCACACAAAGCCTGTTTGGGGATCTCTTCATTCAGAGCACGTGTTTTAACAGACTTAAGGAAATGTATCATCCATTTGAAGATAGAAATTAAACAATGAATTCATTGCAGTCGTGACATATTTTATTTGAAAGAAAAACAAACCAAACATGTATAGGAGCCGTAACAAGAGCACCTAACTTTGTCTAAAGCCAAAGATTGGGGGTCAGTGAAAAATTCTTTGAGGAAATGATGTTTAAGCCAATGGCTGAGACATGAGTAAGCAGAAGTCCGGAGAAGAGTCATGAAAAGTATAACCAAACAAGAAGGTTATTTTACCTTCATTGTGTCTGAACATGAGACAGAAAGAGACAAAGCCAGGAGGAAGGTGAGCAATATCAAGGATGATGCTCGAGAGCTTGGCAAGGGCAACACTGAAGGATTGTAAGCAGGACCCTGACATGATGAGATTTGAATACTGAAGGGCTCGCTGTGGCTTCTACATGCAGAACACAATGGAGAAGAGAGTGAGGCTGCGTTCAGAATAGAGATAAAATGTAATATTCCCAGCCTTCCTCAGTTCCTAAAGAAAAATAACTTTGTAAGTTTTATTCTTTCATGATATCATATATTGCATTATGGTTTTGGCTTTTAGAATATATATTACTTGATTCTGTACTTAAGAAAGATATGCTTCATTTTAAGCAAACTCTCATTTTATAGAAAAGATAAATGTTAGAGAAATGAATAGTTCAATCTTTGTGTTAGGAGCTGAACTGTGTCCCCTGCAAAATTCATACAAGTCCTAACCCCTAATACCTCAGGATGTGACTGAATTTGGAGACAGGGTCTTTCAAGGGGCAATTAAGTTAAAATGAGGCCATCAGGGTAGGCCCTAATGCAATATGGCTTGGTGCTCTTAAAAGAAGAGATTGAGACACAGCCATGCACAGAGGGAAGACCATGTGAGGACAGAGGGTTCACACAGCCATTTACAAGCCAAGAAGAAAGCTGTCACAAGAAGCCAACTATAAAGACAGCTTGATCTCTGACTTCTAGACTCCAGAGTTGTGAGAAAATAAGTTTATGTTGTATGAGCCACTGGTCTGTGACATTTTTCTATGACGGACTTAGGAAACTAATATACTTTGTACCAACACACCCTTTGTTTAAGGAAAAGAAAAATCACTGTAGGTTTTCTTGGAAATATATTCTCTTAATGAATTCAAAATTCATTTATATCCCAGCAGGAGTCTAAATGAAGGAGAAACTAATTTATTGGGGAGTTTTTAGAGGGCAGGGTGTGGGGGAAGAACCAAAGGAACGTGCATGATATGTAAAGTGAAACATGGTAGTTGGTTCAGTGAATTCCCACATTGCTCAGGCCCCCAATAGCCAGTTGTACACTATATAAGAATAACTACATTGGCTAAATTTAGAGATCCTAGTAGTGTCATAAGCTCTGTCTTGACCATGAAAATCAACCGTTGTCAATGTCCCGAAAGCCTGAATGCCTCATGCACACATTCAAGTCAGGGAGATTTTCTTCTATTTCTGTTCAAATCATCAAGCATATTCCTTGCATATATCTACTGGTTTACTATGTGTACAGAATTATGGAGAATAAGAAGCATTTTAATACACGGTCCACAACCATAACTCCAAGGAAATAAAGTTAGAGATCAGTTAACATATACAAAATGACTTGTTATCTGTTATCTTCCAAAGTGAGTTAACAGAAGTTAATTTGGAATGGTTTTCTTTTTCTTTCTTTCTTTTTTTTTTTTTTTTTTTTTTTTTTTTTTTTGCCCTGGCTGGAGTACAATGGCACAATCTCGGCTCACCACAACCTATGCTTTCTGGGTTCAAGTGATTCTCCTGCCTCAGCCTCCCAAGTAGCTGGGACTACAGGTGCATGCCACCAGACCCAGCTACTTTTTGTATTTTTAGTAGAGATGGGGTTTCGCTACATTGATCAGGCTGGTCTTGAGCTCCTGACCTCATGATCTGCCCGCCTTGGCCTCCCAAAGTGCTGGGATTACAGGCATGAGCCATCACGCCCAGCCTTGGAATGGTATTTCAAGTGATAGCAGAGTTTATCCTCGATGAACAAACTTGTCTGCAATGGGCTGACTTCCACGTAATACTTAACATCCATCCATTCATCCATGTTAAATCAACTGGAAACACACATAAACGTACCAAGCCACAGAGACAAGACTTTTATTTTTCTTCATTGCCATTGAGCAGCTTCTTTTACTCTGTGGTTTCTTTAGCTTTGTTTTTTCATGAAAGCACAGCAGGTACAACCATTTAAACTTCATTGCTGGCTGTGATCCTCTTTTGTAAACATTCCTTCAAAGTTAAAATGAAAACTACTCTTTCTTTTCTTACAATGAAAGGAATACATTTTTTCCCCTGTTCTGCCTAAAATATCAAAAACACATAACCAGGGCCTCTTAAATGCAAATGGCTTTTTGACCTCCCTTGTATATCTGGGTTCTTTGGGTCTTCTCAATAATTCTCCTTTCTCTAAATGTTTCCTTTCTTTTATTTGCTCTTTACTGAGAAATGCTAGCACGCTTTTTTGGAAATCAATGAAAAAACATTGAGATGCTTTGTTCACCACATGGGCTCTTCTGCTTTGGGGTAGTGGGCATTTATTATCTCTGTCAGGTATTGGCAGCATCTGATTTTGTTGATCTATAGGCACAGAAAGGACTGGAAACTGAGTATGTATGTTATTATGACTCAAGACACATAAACTCATTATGCCTACATTTTAACAAGCACAACTTATTTATAATTATATTGAAATTCTATAGCTCCAAGCAAAGGTACAGAGGGAGACAGATTTGATAAGTTACTTTTAATTTGTTTTTTTTTTTTTTGCATATTCTATTGCTAAGAGCTCTAGTACTAAAAAGGAATGGAATTGAAAAGGAACACTGAGGAAGGATCAATAACATATAAAGCAAGAATTTTACCTGGCAAAGCCGACACCTCTGCTGACTCCATTAGCGTCTCTTAGAATTCTTGTGGAAATGACATGTCCAAAGGGTTTCAGCATGTTCTCAAGTTCCTGCTCATCCATAGAAATGGGGAGATTTGAGATGTATAGGTTTGTTGGGTCTTGCTCTTGTTGCTAAGAGAAGGAAAGAAACAAGGGCAGTAAGTTCTGAATAGTGAGAAGCATTATACAAATGGAGAAACTTTTGTTTAAACTGCAATCTAGATTATAATCTCCAAAGTGCTCTTGAAAGTGCTTTTACTAGGGGCATTACTTCTTTTTACCAATGCCTCGTCTTGTGCAGAATGTTTATCATAGACACAATGATAAACGAAAGGCAAGCTCTCTGTCCATCCTTCCGTAGAAAGACTAATAAACTTTTACTGCAATTGAACTAAGGCAAATGTGTATACGTTTTTTATTACCATTACTTACTCCTTCTATGATTTTCACTGTTACTACCATCACAATTAGTTACTGATATTGTATTTAGTGAGTTCATAATATATAAGCATTGTTCCAAACACTTAACGTGCATTATTTCATTCAATATTTTTAACAGATATAATTATTTTATAGATGACAAAATTGATCTCTAACTTATCAAAGGTACAAGCTCATAAGTGCCAAACTCAGGGCTGAAATCGGGGCCTATCACCAAAGTCCATGGCATTTATTGCTCTGGTCTACTGCCTTCCACTAGACGAATGAGTCTCAAAGTATAGTCCCAGAAATGCAACATCAGCCTTAGCTTCACCTGGGAACTTATCGGAAACACAATTTTTCAGGCCCCACCACAGAACTACTGAAGCAGAATCTCAGAATGGGCCAAGAAATCTGTGTTTTGACAAGCCCTCCAGGTGATCCTGATGACTTGGCTTAAGTTTGAGAATTGCTGTCCTACACCAAGCCTAAATATTTACATACAAATACAATTATGATGTCTATTATTTCCTAATTCATCAGCAATAATGCTTAAATAAGTTTTGCTAAATGGAATGGGAAACCAAACCACGATGGCTAGCATTATTTCTATGTGTATCAATTTTCTCTATTTTATATAATAAATTAATAATTTAGAACTTAGTTGTATTTATGTCTCAAATAAAACACAGTCAAAAACTTGATGGACTAGTCATTAATGTCAAAAACCAAATATTTAATTGAACTGTTATATTTTAAGCAAAACAAAAACCTTCAAGAATAAGCCAGAGATTAAATTAGAAAAAGAAATCCGGAAGTCTATAGGAAATGGCATTATGTAACAGTAAAATATCTTTTGTGAAAAGATGATATCATATTATTAGATCTTTATGGTTTTAAAACCAATAAATAAGTACAATAAACAAGAATCCAAATATTGTTTCAGGTCAAGAAATAATTTTTGTATGCAACTAAATCCTGTATTTTTAACAACTCAAAATATTCAGATAGGTCGTAATATTTTATTAAAACTTGGAGTGAATATGATGTATTATTATTTTCATTTTAAACACAGTTGACTTTTCAAGCTTTTTAGTATCATGGGAAATAGCAAAAAATAAAATATAATTAATCTGGAAAAGATGACTAGAGCCTTAATATTTAGGAATAGTTTACATAAGGAGACTGAGTGAAGTCAGTCTTTTTCTCTCTCTGTCACAGACATACACATAAACACACACACAGACACATCCATAGAAACACACACAACACACACAAATCCATAGAAACACACACACACACATACACACACACACACACACACACGCCATCACCACTACCATCATCACTACCATCACCAATCCACCAATAACTGTCATGGTCCTAGAGAAAAAAAACAGAGATAATATTATTCTTTAAATGGTTTTGATCTTGTTTGTGTTTTTTGTGGGGTGGTAAATAAAAAATGACATTTCAGCTACATAATAATGAACCTTATCTACATATAACTTCCAATGTTCATATTATTTCACCATTCATCATTTAATTTTAATCTTCACATTGTCGCTCCAAAAGTAGTTTGGCAAATATCACTACACTTACTGGATAATGAGGAAATGGAGACATGAAAGATTCACCATCTGGCCCAAGGGCAATCTAATAATTAGTGACAGGGTTAAAATTAGATTTAGTGACTAATTTTCCTATCTTCTAGCTCAGTGCATTATCTACCAGTCCAATGTTTCTCAAGCTTCAATTATTTGAAATACCAAATCTTAGAAATTCTTGCCAGTCGTAGATTATTACTTAAAGTTTTTCTAAATAAACATACCTCTGGGGCTTAAACAAATCTATTTGAAAAGATAACTTTATGTTGTTACCATAACTGAAAAGCCAGTATTACTTGCCATAAATAGAAAGTTACTGTAAAAGCAGTGAACAAATTAATGTTTTCAAATTATAGCTAGGTAGTGTTTGCAGAAGGCTTTGGAGCTCCTGCTTGACTCTCTGTTGCAAAGAGAATTCATAATGAATGGAAGGGTTAGAAGCACACTAGCACCAGATTGAGTCTTTTTACTGGGAAGAATCAGAATCCCAAAAGAATTGAGAAAGGAACAATTTTCTTGTGATGTGATTTCTGAGTCCCCCATGTCTAGAACGACTCAAGTTCTATGAGAAATACATGCCCCACAGCTTTACAGTTCCTCATCAGCCCAGAGCTTACCAATGAGTGGGCCACAGCATATGACAGTCCTATGAATGCGTTGGAATTTGCTCAGTATTCAATAGCCCTTTGCCCTTGATCAGGTTAATAATCACAACCTGTGACAATGTCCCAGGGTACTGTACAGATCTTAGAATTTTTCTCCAGGTACCAGTGCACCAGTTTATCCAAATTCAAAGTCATTTCCATATTCCCTAAATATTGAATGCACTGCAGCTGCCCAAAATGGTGTACCATAAACACGCAGAGCTTAGTACATAAGGGATTGCCTGGTAAGCTATTTTATGAATCCAAATTCAAACAACAAGGCCAACTCTTTAATTTGTATTCAGAGACAGTAGCACATTGGACAGTGTCATTCCTTAATTTGTATTCACAGAAAGAATATGGCATTGGGAAGTGTTATTTAAGTAATTCTGTCTTTTGAAATGAAGGCAGCATTAGTCTTGAATATATTGGTTGAAAATAGAATTTAAGTTATGCATGGAATAAACTTTAAAATAGTATATACATTTATATTTTTGCTTTTAATTTATGTATCAGGTGTATGTAAATGGATGGTCATTTTCAAAAGGTTCACTGGCACTATGAAACAAAAAGCACTTTCTTTTTAATTTTCCAGAAAGGTTTTTCACAGGGTAACTGTAATTTAAAAGATCTTTTTATAATTTTTTTCTTAACTTATATTTTTATGGACACAGCTCCCGAATGGACCTACGATGTCATCTTATCCAATCTTATCACTTAACAGATGGAAAAAAGCAGAAGCTAGCGATGAGATTATGACTTGCCCAAGGCCACTTAGCTAGAGGAACAGGCTAGAAATAGAGTATTTTATATTTAATCTTTTGTAACTGCCACTTTACAACACTGACTTTATTCTTAAAATTGAATGAGTAGTTCAACTACAAGCAGGTTGTAGTTCAAAAGAATATCAGTACAGACAAAAATAAATGCATTTGAGTTCCTTGTTTTGTTCACTTTTGCCTATTCATCAATAAGCTTAGGGTAAAGAGTGAAGGCTATGATCAAAGAGTTCCTAGCCTTACCTAATATTCTACACATAGTCATTGAATGAATAATGTGCTGTGTATATTAGATTGTAAAACTATATGACTATGATTCATACATCTATTACATTTAACTGTCCGTGTCACTATACTCCCGCATTTTGGTTTGTTTCTACATTTTTTCATCTGTACATGGATTTCTTAGTTTATTATTTAGTTTTATCTTAAAGTTCATTTAAAAAAGTTAGAAAATATCTTTTTTATTGTTAATAGGAGCCCAGATCTGTCATTTTAAGTAAAAATATGTAAATAATTTATTTTCCCTGAAATTACTTCCTTTTCCTCAGGTTTTTAAGGTATGGATGCTGTCGAAATAAGATTTATCAGCATTCATTTGCTTTTTAGCAATTTAAACAATTTCAGAACTTCAGAACATTTCAAGGTGGCTAACCAAATGAATACTTGTAGAGGACAAGGAAACACTGCCCTATCTAGATCAAAGGTTACATCTGGTGTGTTTTTGAATATGCATTATGGCCATTATACAATCACAGTTCTGAAAAGGGCTATTAGTAGAACACAATTTTAAACTTAAAAACAATATGACAACATTCACATTTGATTGAATGACACTTAAATGCTCAGGAAGTAGCTACAGTAGTAGCACTAAATTGAGATTTTAGGGTAATTTTTTAAACTACCTGGAGTGAGAACTATTTTTATTTCCAATATGCCATGGATCAATATATTTGTAGGGTATAAGAAAAATAAGTAGAAAATAAAATAAAAAGATATGCAAAATGCCAGTTCCAACTTTTTATTATCACATTCAACAGACACCAAATTACATATTGGACTAGACATTATGATAATGTCAATTGTTATAAAAGATTTTAAATGCTTTCTCTCAATTTCCATACATATTTCATTGTGAACAAGTAGCAGGTGGTATAACAAACTTTGATTAGAACTGCTTTATGGGAATATATTCCTATTATTTCCTTTCCTAATGGAGCACCCTATGGGTCTTAGTAAGTGAGTAGTACTTGCTTACTTTATATGCTATCGAGTCCTTTTTAAAAAAACATTTTTAATTGGCATATAATAATCGTACAAATGTATGTGGTACAAAGTGAAATTCTGATATACAAATACAATGTGTAATGATTGAATCAGGGTAATTAGCATATTCATAACCTCAAACATTTATTATTTGTTTTGGGAACATTCAAACTCCTTTATTCCAGCTATTTCAAAACATGCAATAATTTATTTTTAAGTATGGTCACTCTGCAGTGCCATAGAACACTAGAACTTATTTATCCTATCTAGCTGTAATGTTGTACCTACTTATTGATTGAAAGATACACACATACCCCCTTCCTGCTACCCTTTGCAGCCTCTAGTCACCACAATTCTACTCTCTACTTCCATGAGTTTAACTTTTTAGTTCCTACATATGAGTAAGAATATGTGGT